TGACACTCTCCTTTTCCCCACTCCCAAACTCTTCAGTTTTCAGGGAACCCTACACCGTCCGGGTGGAGGATCAAAGGTCAATGCGTGGAAACGTGGCCGTCTTCAAGTGCCTCATCCCCTCTTCAGTGCAGGAATACGTTAGCGTTGTGTCTTGGGAGAAAGACACAGTCTCCATCATCCCAGGTAAGGACGAATCACGGGGCGGCAGATAGGGGTGCTTGGGCAGGGGGCGGATAAAGTAGAGGTGCTTGAGCTGGTCGTTGAGCTGACCAAGATCCTGAGATTGGTTCTGGTGAATGATTTGTTATCGTTCTGGTGATACTTCGGCAAAAAACCGTCTTTGGTCTCCGTCTGGTGCATCTCAGTGGGGTGGTGAAGACCTACGTGAGTGGCCTCGGCTGAGTGTGTGAAGGTCCCATTAGACACGGCGTGTGGCAGGGGTCCCGTGCTTCCTGACTGCTGGGGTTTGGCTGGACCTGGACCTGGCGGACGAGAGGCTGGTCTGTGGTCCGTGTTTCTGCATTCGGAGCACTGAGCACTGGCTCCTTGGAGGACCAGCCTTGAGTATGCACGTGGGGCTTTTTCCTTTCCTTTTCTTTTCCTTTGTGCATGAGTTGGCTAAAGACTCTATCAGCATTCTAGCCAGCCGCATTCGGAGGCTGACGTGGGGAGATGGGTTTAAAATCATGTTGTAGGTTCATCTCATTACAGCTGCCTCGATTGTGAGTTTCTCATTATTGGTTCCTTTTACCTCTTCACGGTTGTCCCTCCAACAGGAAAACAGGTCTGGAAACCCCAAGAGAGGACCTCAAGTCCTTAAAATACCTCTGGGCCTCCAAAGAGTTACAGTTACAAAACTCTGGGATTTTTCCACCACGGACTCCCTTATCCCCACACATTGCAGAGGTTCTGTCGCTTTGTTCCTTCCTTTCTCTAGCAAGGACCTTTGTTTCCCTTTCTGTGAAATGGAGGAACTTAATCAGGTGCCCCCTGAGTGCCCTTCAGCACTGAGGTCCCATGGCGGGTGGTATGAAATGATCGTTGTTCCTCAAGGTGTGCGGGTTAGTCGGGGAGTGCATGCAGCCTGGAAAGCAGGGGTTCTTAGCCTGCGACTCATTCCAATCCCCGAGAACCTCCTTTAAAAACACCGGTGCTCGGTCCCAACCCCAAATCAACTGAATCAGAATCCCCCTGGGGTAGAACCTGGGCATCAGCATTTCCAGTGCTCCCTCCGTGTATAACTAGGATAAGAACCAATGCCTGGGCATGTGGACAGCTAACGTGGCGGGAGCCTTTTTTTGAGACGTTACTTTGTGTTTTGCTTTCAGTACTTTTTCCTTCTCTCAGTTCCAAGCAGATGGCCAGGCCGTTATATATCCTGGCTCCAGAGTTTGTAGCAGGACAGGAATCCAAAGCTACTTGAAGACAGCTGCTCTTCCTGTCTTTTGTAAAACCGTAGGCTAATAGGAGAGGTCAGGATGGGTGTTTTGACTGGGGAGCGGGGCCTCTGAGGGGAAGGAGCTAACAGGAGACAAAGGATGCCAGAGATGGGTAGTGCTGTGGGCTGCTTGGTGGATACAGCGGAAGAAGTGGTTGGACCCCACAAGGGTGGCGTGTGGGACCCGTAGGGACTGAGGGCCAGGGGTCTTGTGTCCAAATAAGGCATGGGGTTCACGGCCCAAGGCCCAAAGGGATCATGCAGGTGGGGCCCAGGGGCTGGTGAGGACCAGAGAGGCTGTGGACCCTGGCACACCCCTGAGAGAAACCCTAATAGTGATGGACACAGTCTCCTGGCTATCTAACAGAGTCAGATTTAAGGTAATTTAAAGAACATCAAAAAATGTGATATTTCTTGTACACTTGAATTTATGGACTAAGCATTATATCCATTAAAATAATAATTATTATTATGTTAAAATTTGGGGGGTGCTGACTATATGTCAGGCACTAGGCTAAGAAACATTCGTATATGATTTCACTTTATCATCGCAAAAAGTCCGTAAGGACGTTTCCGTCCTCTGCTTTACAGAAGAGGAAACTGAGGCTCAAAGCGAAGTAACTTCTTCTGGGTCACAGGTCTGTTATGCAGAGGGTGGGGGCTTCAACCCAGACAATGAGGACTTTGGCCTCTGGAAGGTGGAAAAAATCAGTGTTTTTTGATTTTTTTAGGGACAGCTTCACGGAACCAAGTCCAGTGTTGTGATTAAAAGCCTAGAATGTTGGACAAGAGACTGCCTGGATTTGAAACTCA